GATTAACCAGTCCGAATCATAACTCATCTGTAGAATGGAGACCTTAAGGGTCATAGTGTCTGTTGAAGTGCAGAGAGGGAGCCTTTTGGATGGTGTAGGGGCGAAGCCTTGCCCCCAGCCACCCCTCTGGCCCTTAATATCAGAGCTGTGCTCAGGGTTAATTCTCATTCTGCTTTCTCTCCCTCCTCCCCACTGGACTGTAATGCCAGCTGAGGGGGAGGAGGGAGATCACAGGCAAGGACAGCAGGGCTTGGGGAGGTGGTGAACCCCCTGGTCTGGACCACCATGTTGGACGGTTCGGAGGGCACAGTTCCTTATACAGTCTGTGCAAATGGCACCTACTGGAGGCATGCAGGGCAGAGCCATTGTGGCTGTGTGCGGAGGCCCTGGCCCTTGTTCAAAGAGAAGTGACAAGGCCCCTGGTGGCAGGGAGGACAGGAGTGGGCGGGGCCCAGGGATGCTTCTTTTTCAGGTGGGATCAGCAGGTTGGATATGGGGTCCTCTGAGACTCCACTGGGGCCTGGGGGCATGGAGGCCTGGTGGGTTAAGGTCAGGAGTTCAGGTGGGGTCTGCCAAATAGCAGGGGACGGTGGTCACTTGGAGATACCCAGCAGGCCAGAGAGGGTTTTCACATCATCTCCACGGAGGTGGCACGGTGGATTTGATGACTCAGAGCTGAGTACAGAGAGAAGGGGCAGAGGACAGCCCCGGAAGCTACACTGTGGGCAGGAGGGGGCAGGCATGGGATTTTGCATGTCCAGGAATCAGTGAAGGTGCTTTGCAGCTTCCAAAATGCTCCCCTCATACCCACTTCAGAGGCTTAAGGCCGAGAGCAGCAGGCCCGAGCAGACTTCTGGGTCCTAGGCACTGCCTGTGAGGGGTGACGGGGGCTGTAGCTGCCGGAGATTGCAGCCTCCCTTTCCTCCATCTCAGCGAAGACCTGATTTGTTAGTTGTTGTTGTTGCTTTTGAGGTGTTCTTTATAGACCACAACAGTCATTCTCTTTAAGTGTGTAGTTTGGGGAGTTTTGACAAATGTGTAAGTTGTGCGAGCACTGCCGCAGCTAAGCTAGGACATTTCCATCATCATGAAAAAACTCCCCGTGTGTCCCTGTGTCTTCGTCTTCCCAAACTGCAGCACCCACTGGCCTGTCTAGTGCCACAGTTTTGCCTGTTCCAGAGCGTCCTACAAAATGGAATGAGAGCCTGTGCGGCCTCAGAGGCTGGCTTCTCTCACTCGGCACAGTTTCGAGGCTCCTCTTTGTTACACCGTTATCGTTCACTGCTCTTGCAGAGTGGATTCACTGTGCGCATGCACTGAGTTTTACATCCAGCCATGTGTACAGACAATGTATGAAATGGGGTTTGTGTTTCTGTCTTGGTGGCATACACGTATGTTATGAAAACAACAGAATAGAATGCCAGGTGTCCCCCACTGTGCTCCTTGAAATGATTTTACGTGGTACATGGATGAACAGTTTTTTTCCATATTTTATCAGATTGTGAGCTTATTTTATAAGTTTATTTTTGAGAGAGAGAGCTAGCTGGGAAGGAGCAGGGAGAGAGGGAGAGATAATCCCAAGCAGTCTCCATGCTGTCAGCGCAGAGCTTGACACAGGGCTCAAACTCAAGAACCACAAGATCAGACCTGAGCCCAAATCAAGAGTTGGATGCTTAACTGACTGAGCTACCCAGGTGTATCAGTTGTGAGCATATTTTAATGTGCATTTAAAAAACTGTGTCCAGCACACCAAATGCATGTTTTCCTGGCTCTTTAATGCTTCATGGCTAAGACACAGACCTTGCTGTTGCACTGCCTGCGTTTGATGGCTAGAGCCTCTTTCTGCCAGCTGTGTGACCTTGGGCAAGCCACTCGATCTCTCTGAGGATCAGATGCCTCAGCAGCAGCATGGGCCAGCAATGTGCCTCCATCCCTGTTAAGTTTGCCGTGAGGATGAAAGCAGTCAGTGCAGGCCAAACTCCCTGTTTGGAGCCTGGCACCTATCAGCACTTGGCTGCTATTATTATTAGGTGCATATAGCCCATGTGCGCTGGGTGTGTGATTTATGTGCACATCCCTGTGTACGTGAATACATGTGCACGCACACTACATGCGGGATTCCTGGCCTAAGGGATAAGGGAAGGGATAACTCTGGTAGGGTCTGGATTACCTTCTTGTGCTCACAGGTGTATGTGTGTGCCCATGAAAGTGCCTTTCTGAGGCCACGTGTCTGGGTGTACATTGTGTCCCCAAGGTCCAGGGTTTCCTTATCCTTCTCCATCCTTCTGCTGTCAGCCAGGGTGGTGGGCCTGTGCTACCCTCGCCCACCCCAACCCCTGCCTGTGGGAAGGAGGCCAGGGGGATGGTCCTTCCAGGGCCTAGGTCTCTGGTCCCTGGGTGTCTCCACCATGTTGCCCAGAGCTGGTGTTTTCTGGATCTTTATGCAGGACCGTGGGACACCACCTGGGATGGGTGGGAAGGAGAGGAAGCATTTTGAAGGAAGCCGAGGTCCAGCAGTTGGTCTGTGGATTCTGAGCAGAGGCTGGGAAAGAGTCCCACTGGAGAGGCTCTAAGCAGGTTTAAACAACTGCTTTATTGAGTTATATTGACATACCCTTAACCACATGTGTTTAGAGTGTATAATTGGGTGGGTTTTTACATGTGCACACACCCATGAAACCATCGCTGTAAGCCAGATGGCAAACACATCCGCCATCCAAACACTCCCTTGTGCCCCTTGCTAATTCCTCCCCCTGACCCCCACCCTTCCCAGGTAACCTCCAATCTACTTGTTATTACCAGAGCTTAGTGTGCATTTCCTGGATTGGGACAAATGGGACAGGGTGTGGGTAGGGTGGGGGGCCGTGGTTGAAAGGAACAGAGGCTCTGTGGTTACTCCATGGATTGTGTTTGCTTGTATTTCAAAACCGGCTTTTTTCAGAAAGCATAATTATTTGGAAATTCATGTTATCAGTAGTTCATTCCTTGTTTACCACTGAGTACTATTCCGTTGTATAGACCTGCCACAATCTCTAGTCCATTTACTATGAAGAGTCCAGCTGTGTCTGAAGGTGGCCTGATCCCAATGTGCGTCTCTCCCAGGCAGGGCACCTGTAGGTCACCTGTAGCCACGTTGTGCCCTTCACCCCAACTGTCTCCTTCCCTGGAACGACTTCCCCGGCTCTGCACTATGCAGGGCCCACTCAGCCTCTTCCAGGTAGCCTTCCCAGACTGAATGGGCCTCCTCTGAGCAATTCTCACCTTTATTGTGTGGTGGTTTGCAAAGGCCTTGAGCAGTGTTCTGTGATTCTAGTCTTCTCTTTGCAGTGAAAGCAAGGGGAACTCCTTCTTGTTCCATCCCTCCCTCCCTCCCACTCACAGGATGTCTGACCAGCCATGGACTGTAGACTTTTGGGTCTGGGCCCTCTGGGAAGAAGGAAGCAAAGATGCAGAGTGATGCAAAGTGATGCAAACATGGCCTGGACTGAAGGCTGGGTCTTCCTAGCTCAGGACATTCCTCTCTCCATTGCCCTTCCCTCCCAGTCTTCCTCTCCTTCCTGGAAACTTCTCCTCCCCTCTAGGTAGTGGAAGGCCTCAGGGCAGGCCTGATGTGGACTGAGCTTTCTGCATTATTAAATCACAGCCATGGAGGAAGCCATCTCTGAAACACCCCAGAAGGCCTCTGTCACATGCGGTGGTTTCCTTCTTCCCCAACCCGTCTTCCCCATCCTCCATGTGTCCCTCCTCAAGTTGATGGCATAGGCAGGGGCTAACCTTCCTGATGGATGCAACCCAGATCTTGGGGAAGAAATGAACATCCCCACTTCCTTGCCCCCAACTTCCAGGATTGCATTAACATTCCTAGCACTGCTAATATACATTTTAGAGCCGCAGGGTGTAGAGGCCACCTGTTGTGCTAGAGCAGGGAAGTGACTTCCCTAAGGTCACACAGCCAGTTAGTGACAGACACAGGCCACCCGGTACCTCATCCATGTTCTTTCCTCTCTCTGTCCTGTCTCCCGGACACCAACCTCACATGCTTGTAACATGCGTTCTGCCCTGTCTCCTCTCACATGCTTCTAATGTGCCTTCTCCTGGACTGAGCCCTGTCTTGTACTCTAACCCGTTTTGCAGAGAGGTAGAACCGTGTGCAGGAAGAAGCAGCGTGCCTCCCTGGCCAGAGGTGCTCGAGGCAGATCTGCATTCTGTTAGGAAGCCTGGGTGCAGAGCCGCACCTGTGTGCAAGATGTTGTGGGCATGGGTGGTGGAAAGCAGGGAGGCGGCCTGGGGCGGAGGGAAGTGGCCCTGAGGGAGGGAAGCGGTGGGCGTGGTCCTGGGGCTGCTGCACCCACCTTGCTGGTGTCCAAGGGCAGCCCTGTGGCCATGTGTTCACTGTGGCTCAGCCTCATCAGCCCAGCTCCCGTACCCTCTCTTCCTCTTCTCCTCCTCCAGGAGGCTTTCCTGAGAAGTGACCTGCCCGTCCATCCTTTCGACACTTACAGTGTCTGCCATTTTTATTGTGATTCCTGTCTGGGTCTTCTTTCCTTTCCTGGACTGGTGTCTTCTTGGGGATGGGGTCCATGTTCGTTTCATGGCTGTATGTCCAGTGCCTAGGACCGGGCTCGGTATTCAGTAGATAGATAATGAATATTTGCTGAACAAAATCAATGACAGTGGTAGTGAGTGGCAGTGTGCGGTGGTGGGTGTTGGCTTTATCACAAGGGCGGATGGTGGAAGACAGACGGTGGTAAATACTAGTGAGTAGCAGGAGATGGTACCTGACGGTGGGTGGGAGGTGGTGGGTGAAGGACCAGGGAAGATGGTGATAGATACTAAATGGGGGTAGATGGCAAAGTGGGACATAGCAAGAGGTGGTAGCAGGTGGCCTGAGGTGGCAGTGGATGAGTTGCAGTGGTGGTGGACATCCTGGGCAGTGGGCAGCTCCTGCTGTGCCCAGGGGCCTTTGTCACACTCTGATGTTGCAGCCTGTTCTTTTGCAGACTCCATTGGGGGCCCCTTCCCTGTCCCCTCTCACCGATGCCACCACAAGCAGAAGCACTGCCCTCCGGTGCCGCCCGGCGGGGGGCTCCCAGCCACGCCACTTCTCTTCCACCCGCACACCAAGGGCTCCCAGATCCTCATGGACCTCAGCCACAAGGCCGTCAAGAGGCAGGCCAGTTTCTGCAACGCCATCACCTTCAGTAACCGCCCAGTCCTCATCTACGAGCAAGTCAGGCTGAAGGTGGGCCCCCTCTCCCTGCTCTCTCCACCTCCCTGGGCCTCGAACCTTCTCTCTCAGCACTGCCTTCTGTTACAGCCATTACTACACCCTGCCCTTCTCTTGCCTCTGTGCCTCCCCTTCTGCTCTTCCTCATCCCTCCTCACGCTCTTCCCTCTCCCTACTCCTTTCTTAACCTTCCCCATGTGACAGAGAAGGACCCGGGGAGGGGAGTGGCCCAGGGGACCACAAGCTGTCACTACACAGTGGGAAGGCTCCCAGAGGATGGGAAGGAGGACAGCTGGGTGGTGTGACTCCCCATGGGGCTCTGCTGAGAGGGACACACTCCCTCCCCTGGGGCCCCTGGCCGTGGTGGGGAGGCGGGGCCAGCCCAGGGTGCTGTCTGAGGCCATCTCTTCCGCCCAGATCACCAAGAAGCAGTGCTGCTGGAGCGGGGCGCTGCGCCTGGGCTTCACGAGCAAGGACCCATCCCGCATCCACCCTGACTCGCTGCCCAAGTACGCCTGCCCCGACCTGGTGGCCCAGAGTGGCTTCTGGGCCAAGGCGCTGCCCGAGGAGTTTGCCAACGAGGGCAACATCATCGCCTTCTGGGTGGACAAGAAGGGCCGCGTGTTCTACCGCATCAACGACTCAGCAGCCATGCTCTTCTTCAACGGGGTCCGCACGGCCGACCCGCTCTGGGCCCTGGTGGATGTCTATGGCCTCACGCGGGGCGTCCAGCTGCTTGGTGAGTGCCCGCTCCCTGTGCCCCTTTCGGTGCGGGTCGCGCTTCCAGGTGTTGGGACCTGACATTGCTCCCTCCCATGGGGTGCGGGGACCCCTCTCCCGCTGGCAGGGCCCCAGGGCCTAGAGGGCACTGGGAGAGCTTGGGGAGCCTTCGCGTGCCCTGCGGATGCACCCATCCTTTGGACCCACAGTGGAGTGAGGGGCGCCTGGCTGGGATTTCTGCCCTCCAGGGCCCCTCGGGTTGTGCCTTTGAGCAGCGCACAGCCTTCATCATAAATGGCATCGAAACCACAGTGCAGTGAGCACTTAGCGTGAGCTGGGCACTTCATTATTGCCCTTCTCATAGCATCCTGGGAGGCAGATTCTATTAGTGGAACCTCTGGAGGCAAGACTCAAGCTCGGGGAGGTTAAGTTGTTGGCCCCAGGGTGAGGTGTGGAGCCAGCACTCGGTCCCAAGTGAGCCCCGGCCCTTGGGCTCTGATCCCCCCAGGAAGTCCAATCTCGCCCTAGTGCTTCGTGCAGGGATGTAAGGGAGGAGAGTGGAAGGCACTAGGGTGGCAGAGACTTTTCTGGCTGCACCTGGGTACCCGGGGTGAGTGAGGCTGCTTCAGGGGAGTGAGAGGGCATGCATCCTGTGTGAGGCAAGGAGGAGCCTCAGAAGGCAGCCTGTGGTGCCACGGTGCCAGGCTTTCTCAGAAGGGCACACATGAATCCTAACAACGAGTGCTGGAAGGGGCCTCGGGGAGTCTCAGGCTCCTCGGGGAATCCAGGTCACCTGACTCACTCGTGCACATGCTGGCAAGCGCAGGTGCAAGCGCACACATAGACTGGGTACAGGTCAGCTCATGGGCAAAGTCGCTGTGTCTCCAGGCGGTGCCTGCCTTAGCCTCAGCTTTCCCATCTATAAAATGGGCTGTTGGGAAGATGAAGTTAAATTAAAGAAGCTGTGAGTAGAGTGTCCTGCACGGTCCTGGGTATGCAGTCAGTGCTTAGCCTGTGCTTGCTCTTCCCGCCTCCCATCCCTGCCCCCATCTCCCTGCAGGGAAAAATGCCATGGAGGTGGTTGGAAACTTTTTTTTTATACTTTTTTCCCTCTGTGGCTTCAGAGCCTAGAAACGGTGAAGCTCTTTTTTACTCAAACCACCTCTATTTGAGTAAAAAAGACAGTGAAAGTAAAAACAAGTGAGTAATTGTCAGAAGCCTTTCTGTTGAGTTCCAAACATCAGGAGGCTGTTTTTATTGATTAATAGAATGGGAACTTTCTGTTTTTCAACTCAGGAAAGTGTTTCTACGTTCACATGGACAAGTTTAAGAGCCTGAAAGCAGGCTCTTCTAAGTCTTCAAAAATGGAGAAGGGAGCGGAGGCCGCCCTGGGATAATTCCCTTTGTGAAATGGGTGCACTGGCAGGGCAGGGCCTCTACCGCCCAGCAAAGGAAGGGCAGTGCTTATGCCCCCGGGCTACAGAGTCAGAGTGACCCAGCTGGGATCCTGGCCTCACCCTACACTAGCTGTGGGGGCCTCAGTTTCCTTATCTGTAAAATAGGGGTGGGTAATAATAAATAACTGTTGTCAGGGTTGAAGAGCAGAGTTAGGTGAAGCAGCTTACACGTAGTAGGTATTAATGACTGTCAGTAGTGCGCACCCATCCTGGAGAGGGTGAAGCTTAATCCAAGGTTCAAGTGAACACCTTCCCACTGCTCTGATATCCTTAGGGCCTCACACTTCAAGGCACTGGAGTTTCAAAGCCTGAGTTTGCACTCCAGCCTGAACGCTTCTGTCTGGGCCTCAGTCTTCTCGTCTGTAAAGAGTTTGTGAATACTATGGCTTAGCCCAGGGCTGGGCCAATGGTGGGAGATAGAAGTGTCTCCACTCTTGAAAAAGGTTATAGTCTTGTTGGGCGGGGGGGGGGGGGGGGGTAAAGGAAAGTGCGGGCAGCATTCTTGCTTTCCCCCTTCCTAGCAAAGAATGCCTTTTCCTACAGTCAAGGCCCAGCTCAAAGGCCACCTCCTCCCTGAAGCCTTCTGGAGCTGAGTTCTCTTCTCTGTTTCTTGTGTTCCCCCACATGGCGTCTGTTTCTGTCAGTACTGAGGCACTGGCGGAGCCTTGGTCCAACCATATGTCTTGCACGAGACAGGGAAGGCTTTGAAGACGAATCTGTTCTTTCCCCACTGGGTGTCTCTCCAGAGTGGAGCCTTGTGTGTGGTGTGTGGAGAACACCAAGGGTTATTTGGAGGCGCGGTTAAGGGAGAGTGGTGGGAAGGTTAACTTGTTAGATGAATGAAAGCGGCTGGGGCAGAGGTAGACCCAGCTTTGCTCTCATAGACAGCTGCAGCCTCCCTGGGAAATTAGAGCAAACCCTCCAGACACAGTCCGGGCAGAACCCAAGAGAAGCCCGTAAATTGTTTAATGCTGTAGTCATAGGATCCTTTCCATCTGCCGAGATGGTTTCCATCCAGCTATCTCATTTAATCTCTCAGCAGCTGGCCTTGGACAGAATGTTTTTCTTTCATTCCCATTTGTCAGGGAGAAAACTGAGGCCCATGGAAGACTCGGCCTGCGTAGGGATGCAGCAGAGCTGGGGTTTGAACAGGGCGTTCTGATGCCAAAAGCAGTACCTTCCCCAATAAACCTTCAGCAGGTTTAAGTGTGGAAGGAGGCAGGAATTGAGAGGAGGCTGGGGTCTGGAGGGAGGATGGAGTCCAGGAGGGCTTCTTGGAAAAGGGGACTTAGGCTGGGCCTACAAATTCTAGGAGGGTCCGGGGAGGAGGTGGTGATGGGGACATGCCAGGGTAACTTCCAAATCTCAGGGGCCTAGGGAGGGCCCCACCTGAGGGCACAGCCCAGGTGCCCTCACCCGGCCTGACCCTGTTACCCCTCTCAGACTATAAATGGGTTTTCCCCACAGTATTTTCACTTGCCTCTGGATTTCCCAGCAGGTTCCTCTCTGTACATCGGATAAGGCTGAGGCCCCAGCAGATTCCTGTCCTAGCTATAAATCACCATAATCCCTGTATTTTCAAACACTGATTATAGCCCCTGAATTCAATTAGCAGATTAAATTATCTCTTTGTTTTGTTCTTCCTAAAGTGATTTCTTTTTTGTGTAGAAACAAAGAAAGCCATCCAAGATCTCTTCAGAGGTAGGGATGCTGTCTACACTCTCATTCTGTGGCCTCCCCTCTGATATAGTCCCAGGGTCAGCCTCCTTCCCTCTCCTCCCCACTTCCCACGCAGCACCCCCACAACCCTGCCCTGATCTCTCCGGTGCCTCTGGCTTTCCCTGCTCTCCTCCTAAGCCATCTTGGCTTCGAGTTTCTCCTTCCCCTGAAGAAATCATTCTCTACCTTGGCAGCTCTGTTGTCTTTCCCGAGGTGATTGCCTCCCAGACCAGTGTCTCATCTGCAGGGACTTCCTGCTAGGCCTGCCCCCCTCCCTTTCTGCCTCTCTCTGGGACCTGTGACCAAAACCCTCCAAATCCTACCTGGCCCGTAATCTGCTCTTCACATCAGAAATATCCTGGGGTACTTGGCACCTAGCAGACACGCAAGTCAGGCTATGGGCAGGTTGTCTGTGTCTCCTGCCAGAGTGGAGGCACGGGCTGGCATCTCTTCCTGAAGTGACACCACCAAGGGGGTGCCCCGTCCCAACCCCACACCGCCCTAACATAACCCCGGCCCCCTGGTGCCCACCCCATGACCCCTGCAGGCCTGCTTCAAGCCTTGCAGGCGCCCCTGATATGCTGGAGTTCAGGAGATTGCTTCTGTCCTCAAGGTGTCCTGCCCAAGCCTAGGCTGGTATTTCCAAGAATAATAGCTACCTACCTCCAGGAAGAAGGACCTGCGGGGCAAGCAAATAGACACACGTTTTATGGGGAGATTAATCCTTGGAGAGATAAGCTCCTATCCCAATTCTTCAAGGTCTCCCTCCTCCTCTTAGAAATGTTGGCTCAGAGAAGGGCAGCTGTGGGCTCTGGCAGAAAGCTGGTGAACCGACTCCACTAATAGGGTGCTTCTGATACCCCTCTGCCCACCACAGCCTAGGTACGATGCAGGGACATGGGGGAGGGAAGCATATGAATTGAAAACTTGCCCCCTCTCTTTGAAGAGTGTTTATTTGGGGGGACACACCATATAATTGCTCTGAGATGATCCAATTCTGCAGTGAAACATGGCTGAAGAGTAGAGCCGTGAATTGGGGGTGGTACAGCTGGGGAGCGATCCAGGACTTCTGTAGGAGAGGAGTTTCAGGTCAGGAACCAAAGGAGCTGAAACGCACAGACTGGTTGGGGAGGAACAGTTTAGGCCGGACCGGAGGGCTATGTGTGGGTACAGAGGTGAGGAATTACACTGGCATCATCAGTCAGGGAGCAGACCCTTCAAGGGAGGAAGTGAAGGGAAGAGGCGAAGGTGACCTGTGGAGAACGGGTGTGCACAGGTGGGGCTATGTGCATGCATTGCAGGGGAGAGAGCCGTGAAAGTAGAAAGCTTCTGGCAGCTTCCTTAGTGTCAATGTCTTTGAAAAGGAGAAAAGGTGGCCCAGAGGTGGGAGAGGGCCTGTCCAAATTCCCCAGCTCATCAGAAGCCAGACTGGGCATAAGGTCAGTGAGAAGACATTGCCACATCAAAATGGTAGCGGCTGAGCTCAGGAGGCCACTGAGGGTGGGCTCCCAAGGGCTCATGGCATTCTGCTTCATCCCAACCTGTGCACATGTTCCCAAGTCCTGGTAAAAGACCTGCCTCTTGAGGATGGAGATCTAGACTCTCAGGGAGGGTAACTTTCTGAGGGCCAGGCTGCTGCTGGACTAGTTTCCGGGCTATTGAGCCAGCCTGGCTTCCCTGCAATGAGAAGCCTGGGCCTCTCCAGAGATAAGGCCTTGGGGTAGGTCTCCCATTCAGGGTGTGCCTCAGCTTGGCAGCAAGACGGACGTGAGCCATCCTGCTCAGCGGAGGACCACACTGCCATCTGGGCCTTCCGCTTCCCAGGCTAAACCAATATTTACCT